ACATACAGATAATAGGTATAAAGTGTTTGTTGTCACTCTGAACACCCATCAACAGCCAAATCATTTAGCTGTCTAATTGTGTCTGTGTCAATATGAAAAGACATCCAGAATGCATTGTTCAGGGGGAAAAGCAAGAATAAGACCATGTGCCCTGCTGGTGTGGCTCAGAGTTGAGCGTTGACCTATGAACCAGGAGGTCATGGTTTGATTCCCTGTCGCAGGCTCGATCCCCAGTAGAGGGCATACAGGAGGCAGCCAATCAGTGATTCTATCTCTTGATGTTTGATGTTTCTATCTTTTCTCCCTTCCTCTCTGAAACCAATAAAAAAATATTAAAAAAAAAAAAGACGGTGTGTGGTCAAAACAAATAAAAAATTAGGTGCATATTTGTGTGTGGCTGTATGTTTGAAGCGATCTGGAATAGCGTATACACGACTAGCAGAGGTGATCTCCGGACATGGCGTTAGAGGGTGTCTGTCGTTTTAACTCCCTTCAAACACCTGTGACTGTCAAAAACAGCAACAAAAGCAAACCCTGTCTTAGAAAGATGCCAGCTCTGAGTCAGTGTGGGAGGAGGAGAGGGTGAGGAGGACTGGCCCCAGGATGGGGCAGCCAGGCCACTGTGCACGAGGCTTAAGGGGATGAAGTTTTGAGAAGAAATGGAAGCAGTCAGATGCCACCTAGAGGTCACAAGAAGTGGCGCTAGGTTTGGGAGGAGGTTGCTATAGTGATCTGGGTTCCTTGAACTTTGAAGCTATCAGTGGGCAGACTTTTTTTTTTTTTTTATTTAATATATTTTATTTATTTTTCCCAGAGAGGAAGGGATTGATTTTTCACAGAGAGGAAGGGAGAGAGAGAGCGAGCCAAAAACGTCGATGAGAGAGAAACATCGACCAGCTTCCTCCTGCACACTCCCTACCGGGGATGTGTCTGCAACCAACGTACATGCCCCTGACTGGAATCGAACCCGGGACCCTTCAGTCCGCAGACCGACGCTCTATCGCTGAGCCAAACCGGTTTTGGCTAGTGAGCACACTTTTGTTCAGTTGCCAGTTTGTGTTTTCAAGCCCCAAAGCACCTCTGCTGAAAACCAAAGCTGTGCCTACTTACTAGCACCTGTACTAACCATCCATCTGCCTGTCTCACCACCTGCTCCTGTGGTGCTTGCCCCCTGTCTGGTGACACAAATACAATCTCTGTGTCTGCTGCTGGGATCATGCTAAGCATCACCCAGATACGCACAAAAGACTCTCAGGAAGTGGCCTGTCAGTCAAGGTATAGCAGTAATATTTTTGTCCATTAAAAAAAGATTTTTATGAGAGGGAGAAACAGTGGTTGGCTGCCTCCTGCACGTCCCCCACCAGGGATGGAGCCCGCAAGTCAGGCCTGTGCCCTGACTGGGAATTGAACCGTTACCTCTTGGTGCATGGGACAACACTCAACCAACTGAGCCACACCATCCAGGGCATTTGTCCACCTTAAAACTACAGTGGGTGGGCCGAGACCGGTTTGGCTCAATGGATAGAGCGTCGGCTTGGGGACCTGAAGGGTCCCGGGTTCGATTCCGGTCAAAGGCATGTACCTTGGTTGCGGGCATATCTCCAGTAGGGGGTGTGCAAGAGGCAGCTGATCGATGACACTCTCTCATCGATGTTTCTAACTTTCTATCTCTCTTCTCTCCCTTCTTCTCTGTACAAAATCAATAAAATATAATAAAAAAAAAGTCTCACAGTCAATTTAAAAAAAAACAACAAAAAACAAACTACAGTGGGTGGGACCAAAGTGCCCTAACCTTGCTCTTTGTATGATTTTTGTGTTTCTCTATCTGGCCTAGTCTCCTATTTCCTCCCTGAAGTTAGATGGTGACTAACGCTGCACACAAAGGCGGGCTTTCTGCTTCTGTCCTCGCAGTGTGGGGCTGCTGCTTTTCTCTCGGCCTGAGTCTTTCACCAGCTCTGGCCTCGCAGGCTCCCTCCCGGATTGAGCTGGGTCCTGAATAGAGTGTTTTTCTCCCGAGGGCTCCGTGCTGTTTGCCTCCACAACTAGGGCAGCCCAGGGGCTGCGGAGGCAGGCGGCGTGCAGTGGCGCCTGCGCTGTGGCGCCTGCGTGCCTCGGCTCCGCTCCCAGCTGGGCCTTTGTTGTTGACTAAAACAGCAGAACCCCCTCCCAGTTGTGGGGGCCAGGAGTCTGAAGTCGAGGTGTCGGTGGGTGGTTGCTTTCCTCAGGCCTCTGCTTGGCTGGCAGGTGCTTCTCCTCCTGTCCTCACGTGGTCTTTCCTCTGTGTCCGGGGGCTTTCCTGTGGCTCCTTTCCCAGCTAGGGCAGCGGCCGCCAGCGGGGTCCGGAGGCCCAAAGGGTTGGGACCGCTGACCTACAGGATGTCTCCTCACTGACAGTTCGTTCACCAAGTAAAGAGCGGGCGGCCCTGGAGATTTTTTTTCCTTTTTTTAGAAATGAGCATCTTAAACATGGTCTACTTTTTATTTTCAGAAATAAAAATTATTTAGGGCCAGGTAATGTTTGCTTCCAGACTGGATTGTCATAATTTCCTTCCACATTTTTGTTTTATGTATTTTTGTTTGTTTTCACTATGTCCTTCAGATTCATGTGAGGTCAGTCAGTTTTCTTAAAACTATAATTTCAAAACTCATTTGGAACTTAAACCCATAACAATGTGTTAACACATATGCCATTCAAATATCATGAGTTCAGAAGTCCAGAATGGTGGATCTGAGCTGAGACCCATGGGAATGAAAACAAAGCATGCGAGGTGGTTCTTTCCCGATGAGTTATAGCCTGAGAGTACCCTCCCTAGAAACGGAGAAGGCAGGCACACCGATAATTGTGAACTTAGCTACACTGGGGGCCTCAAACGACAGCAAGAAAGGTTAGCCCTTCGTTTCTTAGAGTAAATGATCGGTTCTCCACATGTTGTCTCTGAGGTAGAGCTACTGACAGTGAGCTGGCCCTGGGGCCATCTCGCTTGCCAGGTATGAGCTGTACCCGATGGATCACCAGGAAAGATAGATATTCTGTCTGCATAAGCACAGAAATGAGTAATAAATATGAATTAGCACCATCTGGGTTGAAATTTCCCATTAGGGTTAAACATTTATTTTTATTTTTAAAAAAGATAATTGGCTCAGCTTTTTATTTTATTTTTAAAAATCATTTTATTGTGTGTTTTTTTTACAGAGAGGAAGGGAGATACTAGGGAGTTAGAAACATCGATCAGCTGCCTCCTGCACACTCCCCACTGGGTATGTGCCTGAAACCAAGGAACATGCCCTTGACCAAAATCGAACCTGGGACCCCTGAATCTTCAGGCTCTATCCATTGAACCACACCCGTTAGGGCAGTGGTCGGCAAACTCATTAGTCAACAGAGCCAAATATCAACACTACAATGATTGAAATTTCTTTTGAGAACCAAATTTTTTAAACTTTAACACCACTTCTTCAAAATAGACTTGCCCAGGCCGTGGTATTTTGTGAAAGAGCCACATTCAAAGGGTCAAAGAGCCCCATGTGGCTCTCGAGCCGCAGTTTACCGACCACTGGGTTAGGGCTTGGCTCAGCATTAAAAAAACAAAAACAAACAAAAAAACCCACAAAACTTTTTTTTTTTTTTTTTTTTTTTTTTTTTTTTTTTTTAAGATGTGCCTCAATGATTGAGCATCGACCTATGAACCAGGAGGTCACGGTTCGATTCCTAATCAGGGCACATACCCAGGTTGTAGGCTCAATCCTCAATAGGGGATGTGTAGGAGGCAGTTGATTGATGTTTCTATCCCTCTCCCCCCTCTCTCTTCCTTTCTCTCTCAAGTCAATAATAATAATAATAATAATAATAATAATAATAAACACTAAGAAAATAATAAAGTCTTAGGTGTGCCTATCATAAGGGGTGTGTTTATTTATTAATCATTATTTTGTTGACTTAAATAGACAATAAATGCACGACTAAGAAAAAAAAAAAAAGAAAATAATAAAGTCTGGCTGGCATGGCTCAGTGGTTGAGCACTGACCTATGAACCAGGAGGTCTTCCCATTCAGGGCACAGAGATGGGAGAGAGAGAGAGACATTAGTTATGAGAGAGAATTATTGATTGGCTGCCTCCTGCATGCCCCACACTGGGGATCGAACCCACAACCTGGGCATATGTCCTTGACCAGAATCGAAACCAAGACCCTTCAGTCTGCATTCTGACACACTATCCACTGAGCCAAACCGGCTAGTGCAAAAGAAAATTATAAGTGTGTGTGTGTGTGTGTGTGTGATGTTCAGGAGCAATTGTTAGGCTGTTTCTTTGATCGTAGGTAAAGGTTTTGTTCTTGTTTTGTGTTTAAGTTAGTGGAGACAGGAGCCTGGACTGCTGGGCACTGCTCATAGCTGAAAGGAAGTGAGGCTCTGCCTTTACAATGAGCTGGACCCGAAGGCACGGAGTTTCCATACTGGGAGAGAGCTGTGCCTTCCGAAATGTTTCTCATAGTTGCTAAGTGCTATTGATAGCTTTGTGGGAATTAGTTTTATGTTAATAGATGTAAGCATCCAACCGGCAGCTAACCGTGGCTGGCAGTCTCCGGATTGGCCTGGAAATGGCTGAAATGAGGAGATAGGTAGCATTTCAGCAGAGTTTGCTGCAGTGTGTCACCTGGTATTGGTAATGGTGTGTTCATTTGTTCAGCAGACACTTACGGACTTATTTGGAAAGCCTTCTTTCAACAGATGCTACTTGAGTGCCCACGTGCCCAGGGCCTGGCCCTGGCACAGGAGGCAGACAGTCCTGCCCTCGTGGCTAACAGACATTGAGCACTAATTTTGCACACGTGCTGCGGGAGGGGCTTTTTCTGAGCAGCGTCACAGCCCAGTAAGGGGACAGGCAGAAACCAGGCAGGCCAAAAGGCGATGCAGAGACAGCAGGCCCGTGGGCGCAGAAGAGGGGAGCCGGGGTGCCTCAGCCTCAGCTGCGAGTGCTAATGCTTACCCTCTGACCCTGCAGCATGGACAAGGACAGCCCGGACATCCACCATGACCTCAACGCCCTCAAGACCAAGTTCCAGGAGACACGCAAGGTCATCAGCACCATGCCCGGCATCCACCTGAGCCCCGAGCAGCAGCAGCAGCAGCTGCACAGCCTCCGGGGGCAAGTCAGGACCAAGAACGAGCTCCTGCAGAAGTACAAGAGCCTCTGCATGTTTGAGATCCCCAAGGAGTAGATGAGGCCGGCCTTCAGGTGCCCGGCAGGCACGCGAGAGCAAGCGGCCGGTGTGTTCCCTGTGAGTGCGGTTCTCTAGGCCCCAGCTCTGAACTTCATAGCCGGGCAGGGTGGAGGCTGTGTGCTTCCTCAGCTGAACTTGACGTTGACTGTGGGGGGCGGCGTGGCTGGGGCCGCCGCCTCTGTGTCGCTAGGCACCGTGGCTGGAGGGCCCGCTGTGGGAAGGAGAGTGCTGCCACAGGGGTGGGCCTACCTGCCTCCGGGGAGGGCCGTCTCCGCTCTGCTTCCGGCCTCCCCCCCGACACACACACACATGAGCAGTGTGTGCCAGGGACACAGCGTCCTGTTAGCGACATGCCGGGAAGCCTGAGTGCTGAGCTCACTGGACGGATGCAGCGTGGGCTGCACCAGTGAAGGAAGGAGGAAGGCTGAAACTGTTTCCTTATGTTTGAGCCAGCGAGTGGAACTGTCCATGGGGGCGGCCCCTCTGGGTGGCCCCTTGTCCGGGTTCCCTGCCACCTCCATGCCTTTCACTTTTAGTTCTTGCTCCCCGTGTCTCTGTCACCTGCAGGCGTCTCGTTTAGCCATTTAGTGCCCAAGCCACCAGGCCTCCTGGGGCACAGGCACGGTGAGCCTCCGGTCCACAGCTGGCCTCTCCCGGCATCTCAGATCCCGTGGTCTAGTGAAAAGTGTCTCTCTCTGTCTCTTTTTAAAAAAAAATATATTTTATTGATTTTTTACAGAGAGGAAGGGAGAGGGATAGAGAGCTAGAAACGTCGATGAGAGAGAAACATCGACCAGCTGCTTCTTGCACATCCCCTACCAGGAATGTGCCCGCAACCAATGTATTATACATGCCCTTGACCGGAATCGAACCTGGGACCTTTCAGTCCGCAGACCGACGCTCTACTACTGAGCCAAACCCGCTTCGGCGAAAAGTCAGAGTCTCTCTCTCTCTCTCTCTCTCTCTCTCTCTCTCTCTCTCTCTCTCCCTCTCTCTCTCTCTCTCTCCCTCTCTCTCTCTCCCTCTCTCTCTCTCCCTCTCTCTCTCCCTCTCTCTCTCTCCCTCTCTCCTCCCCCCCCCCCTCGCTAAGAGCCAGCCGCGAACATCACTGCTCTGCAGACAGGTTCATGATGTACTTTCTGTTCCAAAGGCGGCTCTAGGTGACAGCTGTGACCGTCCCTGGGCCAGGTACAGTTCTGAAGCGGGGCGGGGGAGGACGGGGGGTGGGGGTGGGGAAGCTACACCCAAAGTTAAGCAGCCAAGTTCTGGCCCATAAAATGTTTACAAACACCCTCCTTTCCTGCAGGTGGACGTTTTATTTTCATGCTCATCCCTGACCTCTGAGAGGACAAAGTGACACTAGTAACCGAATGTTTAAATCTAGAAACGAGTGCGTAACCTGTGCTGACCCGTCCTGGGGCTTAGCTGCCTGCTGCTGCCCTGGCCCAGGTGCTGACGGGGAGGTGTTTTTAGCGGTTCGTTCAGCGACCTGAGCAGGCCGCGGAGGGCGGGTCGGCGCCCGGCCTGCGTGGGTGTCCGGTTCCCGGGCGCTGCACAGAGGAGGGGCTCTGCACTGAGAGGGCAGTACTGTCACTGGCCGAGCCGGTCATTCCCGAGCTCTCGGAGTGGTGTGGTGGGGCCGGTTCTGAGGCTCTGACCAAACCACGGAACGTGGAGCCCTGGAAGCAGGGCCCGGCTTCCTGCCAGGCGGATGTCAGCCTCTGGCGTCGGGGTCTTCAGGGGATCATTAAAAGGACTTGCTCTGCTCCCGGGCATCTGGTTTGTGCTGAGAAGTTCCTAACAGTGCCTCCCCCGCACCTCCCCCAGCTCAGCCCGGTACCCAGTGGGTGTGGCACATCTCCTGGGAGCCCGCGTCTGGCCAGCTCCGGTGGCCTGAGCGTCACTGCCGCCCATGATGGGCCCACGGCCATCCTTCATTCTGTAAGGGGGTTCAGTCCGGGTAGGGAGCGGCCCTCACCAGAGCGACAACATTGAACGCCCCTACAGGCCTGAGCACCCCCTGAAGCCAGTTATTTGGATTATTGGGTGGCAGGCACTTTTTATTTCTTTAAGGATTTTTAAAAATTAGAGAGGGAGAAACATCGATGTTCTGCTCTCAGCTCTCAGATGGAATGGCCTCCTGCATGCCCCCCCACCCCTCCACCAGGGATCAAGCCTGCAACCTGGGTATGCGCCCCGCCCACAGATTGAAGCGGGAGCTTTTTGGTGTCCAGGATAGGACGACACCCAACCAGCAGCCACAGTGGCTTAAACATCACACTTAATTCTCACAGCAACTCCACGCAAAGGGTGTTGTCTGTGTTTTCCTGGCAAAGAATTCGGGGCTTGGCAGGTGGCTGCTGCCCCCGCACAATCACGAGCCGTCCTGAGCTGGGAGTGGCGCCCTCCACTCCTGAGAAAAGGCAGCAGAGAAGCATCTAACCTCTCCCCAGGGCGGAGCGTGCTCCCCCGGAGGCTGGGTGACCCAGCTGTCCCAGCAGCCACGGGCCAGGCTCTGCCCCTCACTGTGAGGCCGGGCCAAGTGAACCTGCAGCCCTCGGAGGTTTCAGCCGTGCTGACCTGTCACCTTCCGCTGCACTGAGGATTGGCCAGACAGCTGGGCTGGGTCGAGGGGAAGCTAAGCAGGTAAATGGCTGGAAAGATGCATCTAGAGGACTCGGAATCCTTTCTTTTTGGCCTCGATTTCAAAGGACCCATTCCCCAAATGGAAGGCTTCCGCCCAGCCCTCGGAGCTTTCCGGGAGCCTCTTCCTCGGGGAGAGCTGCGGCCGTGCTCAGAACCTGGCGCCTTTTCCAGGGCTGGGAGGGAGCCGAGCCAAGGTAGAAACCCACCCTCCCTCCAACCCTGCCCCTCCGGCCATTTCTATAATAAAAGCAAAGAAAGCATGGTTTTCATTTTAAATTATTTTATAGTAAAATAACCAGCACAATCACTGAGACGTCTTACACACAGTATAAACACTGGACGCGGTTTTGTTCATGTTCACCAAGTTTCTCCTTTGTGCAGTTCCACACACATGTAAACAAGACACTTGGCTGATCTGACCCCTTAGTTTCAGAAGGGGAAAAGCTTTTGCCAGTTGCCATGGCAACCTAGGATCACAGACAAGTTAATGCCCTGGTCTCCCTTCACCCTGTGGCGGGCAGGACGGGCTTCTGGGAGCTCAGCGGTGGCTGGTTCGCTTCCACACACACCCGTCCCAGTTACTCCGTCTGAGGAACCGGGCAAGTTCACCGTTGTTGGGCCTGTGCCCACCAAGCCAGGCGCGGGGGTTGGGGTGGTGGCAGGTGCCAGTGGGCACGCAGACGTGGGGGAGGGCCCACCTGTGACCCAGTTCGCGTTCCTTCCAAAGCAGATGACCTGCCCTCCGTTCTCGCCTCCCAGTTGGTGGGCCCGGCGGGCTCTGGGGAGGGAAGAGCCAGGGCCCTTGGAGCGCAGGGCGGACTGGACTTTAAACGACAGGGTCTCCGTGGGCACCGCGGGCGGCGGGGGCCTAGCTGATGACGCAGCGCTCCCGGTCCTTGGCCCGGCCGCCCGCCTTGGCCCGCACGCACAGGAGGTCGCTGTGCACGCTGGGCCGGCGCGCGAAGGGCGCCACGATGCCCAGGGCGCCCCCCGGCCCGGCGCGCGGCTGCTTCCCGGCCCGCAGCGCCTGGTGCAGCGCCTCGCCGTGCTGCGCCGACAGGCGGCGGTGCAGGCCCGGGCTCATCTCCCCGGGCAGCCCGGCCATGGCGAAGAGCGCGCGGAACATGGGCTCCAGGCTGCTGTTCCTCTTGGCCGAGACCTCGAAGTAGGCGCAGCGCGCGGGGCCGGCGCCCAGCAGCCGCCGCACCTCGGCCGGCTGCACCTCGCGGTGCAGGTCGCGGTCGCCCTTGTTGCCGCAGAGGACCAGGGGCACGTCCAGGCGCCCCCCGGGCTTGCTCCTGAGGCAGGACTTGGTGTCCAGGATCTGCTGCCTGAGCCTCTGCGCCTCCTCGAAGGACTCGCGGTTGTCCAGGCTGAATACGAGGATGAAGACGTCTCCTGCGGGCAGAGGGCGCGGAGGTGACGGGCTGACCGGAGGTGACGGGCCGGGCCCCCGCCGCCCGCGGTGCCCACGGAGACCCTGTCCTTTAAAGTCCAGTCGCGGCACCGCGCCCTCCAGGGCTCCCGGACCGGGTCTCACCCCCTCCCGGGCACAGCGGCACCCCCCTCACCGCTCACCCCGCACCCCGCTCACCCGTGAGGATGGAGAGGCGCCGCATGGCGGGGAACGGGTGGCGGCCGGCCGTGTCCAGGATGTCGAGCTGGTAGAGCTGGCCGCGGATGGAGTAGAACTTGCGGTGGAAGTCCTCCACGGTGGGCGTGTAGGCGTCCTCGAAGCGGCCCGTGAGGAACCGCGACACGATGGCCGTCTTGCCCACCTTGGAGGAGCCGAGGATGACCAGGCGGGAGCGGTTCCGGGCCGGCACGCTCGGCTCCGCGCGGCTCGGGCGCATCTTCTTGATCATCGCCGGCAGCTTCATGGGGCGGAGCGGCTGCAGGGCTGCGGTTCGGCTGGGTCGGGCTGGGCTCTGTGCCTTGGCCGCTCGGCAGAGTCCGGTGCCGTCCGCGCCGCCCGCCTTTATGTGCAGCCCGATGGCCGCCCCGCCCCCTGCCCCGTGCGTCACGCCCTCCCGCCCCGCCCCGCCCGCCGCAGCCTCCTCCCCGCGGGGCGGCGAAGCACTGGGCGCGCCGCCGGCTGCGCTAACCTGTGGCTGGGGAAGGGACCCTCCACTACACGCACACGCGTCCTTTGGCCTCAGTTTCCCCAGAGAACGATGGCGCTCCCGTCACCGCAGCAGCGCCTGGCAGGTGCTTACTGGGCGCCCTCTCAGGCCTGAAAGCAGCCCAGCGCCCGCCCCTGCCGCCCGGGCTGTGCTTGTTCCGGGCCCTCGCCTTGGCCACCAGGGGACACCACGCGGCCCGAGTGGGGACGGGGCTGCAGATTGGGGTCTGGGGAGTTGGTCACTGGAAGGTGGTGGGTCTGGTTGATTGTGGACGCAGCTCAGAAGGCGGCACTGGTCACGCAGCAGTGACCCCCGGGGCTGCAGGGCTGGGCGGGCGGGCGGGCGGGGGAAGGACAGATGCGGGGAAGCAGGTTGACCAGTGACCAGGGCGGCTGATGCTGTCACCGGCCCAGAGAGTCCGGGCACAGCCAGCACCGCTCCGGCGGCGCCGGGGGAGGCTGTGCTGCTTTGCTTTGTCGGATTTGTAGGAATCCAAGGAGGGAGCCATTAGCTGGTGCCACCCCATCCACGTGGGTCAGGGTGCCATGGGCCGTCCTGGGGTGCCAGCCCACCCCCCTCAGCCGTTTGCAAGCCCGGGAAGGGGTGCTCAATGGTCATCTCTTCCAGACCTTTTGACAGGGGTCCCAGCAAAATCTCACCCTCCCCGGGGTGCCGGTCCTGGGAGGGCCACCTCAGTGAGGTGGCGGGCCAGGGTTTGAGACCACCCTCCCCGGAGATGCAGTGGCTGGAACCCAGTTGGACTCCTCAGATGAGGACTCCGGGTCCCTTCTGGGCATGTCACCCTGCCCCACAGATGCCAGGCTGTTCTCCCAAGGCTGCTGAGATCATTAAGCCCCGTTAAAGCCCCAAAGCCCGTGAGCCTGACCGCCCGCATCCGGCCGGGCTCTCTTGCCTGCAGGGAGCAGCGGAGGGAGGGACACTGTGAGCTTGGGCTGCTTCATTCCCACCTCTCTTTAAAGTCTCGTTACTAAAAATAATGCCTGCTCATGTCTTTAAAACATCTCAAGTTTCAGAAAGGAATGCAGTGAGAGGAGTCGGAAACAAGAGGCCTCCGTCCCACCCCATCGGGAGTGGGGAACTCCCCGGAGGCTGCCCACCTCAGCGCTGAGGGAGGCACTGCCCGGCGGACGGGTCTCCCTGACCCGAGGTCAGCCCACAGGGCCCTGTGCCGGCCGCTGCCAGCCGCGCCCCCGGCTGCGGCAGACCCGGGTGACGGTGCCGGGCTGGTGATGGTGGCCGGCGGTCTTTCCGTGGTGGCAAACAGCATCGAGGCCGAACCTGCTGGTAAATGTCATTTACTTGCGGTCTAGCAGTTCCCCTGCTAAGAGTGGAATGGGAACTTTTTAAAATCTTTGCCCAGCCCTAGCTGGTTTGGCTCAATGAATAGAGTGTTGCCCTGTGGACTGAAGGGTCCCAGGTTTGATTCCAGTCAAGGGCACAAGCCCGGGTTGCCGGCTTGATCCCCAGTGGGGGCGTGCAGGAGGCAGCCAATTGGTGATTCTCATTATTGATATCTCTCTCTCTGAAATAAAAACATATTTTAAAAAATATTTGACCAAATGTTGGGGTGGGGGGAGCACAGCTGGCCTCCAAGGCGGCCATTCTGCCACAGCCTGTGGGAGCCCCGAGGTTGTAGAAGGTCCGTGACAGCTGTGTGTGAGGCACCTGTCAGCAGGGCGGGCATGTGTGTGTGTGTGTGTGTGTGTGTGTGTGCAGGACCTCCGGCGAGCACCCTGGGTGCACGCCCGCCAGTGCTGCTCTGAGCCTGATGTCAGCAGCCTCACCGAGCAGTCTTAGCGGCCTGGAGAGGAGAAGGACCGGAAACATGCAGAGGACCCGAACCCACGGCTCCAGAGGCCCCCAGGGACACCGGGTGTGTGTGTGTGTGTGTGTGTGTGTGTGTCTGGCTGCTGGCCGCACGGTGTTCCTGCCGCCACCCTTCACCGGACGGGTGACGCCTCCCCTATGATGGGAGCCGTGCAGCCTCGTTTGCTCTTTAGTGACCAACCAGACCAGCTCCATGGCAACCAAACGTAACAGCGCAATTTGGGCCCCCAGACTGTGGCTTTGGATCCTGGATGGACGGACGTGCCGAGATGAGTGAGCTCAGGGGCGTGTTTGACTCAGAGGCTGAGCTCGGGGATGGCTAGTGGTTCGCAGGACGTTAGACCCAGCAGCAGCAGCAGGAGGACGGGACTGCTGTGGTCGCTGTTTCACTCAAATAAAGTTTCCCCTTCACTGCACCCCAAAGTGGGGACTCTGGGGAGCACTGGATTGGTCGCTCCAACCTTTTGTTGGCAAAACAGGTCTGGCTTTCCCTTCTGACGAGCTCCCTCTGCCCAGCAGGCTCTCCTCAGCCCCAGCTCGTCCCCATCTGCGGTCCTTCCAGCAGAGCCAGCGCCCCTGCCCTCCCCCCCCCCCCACACCTGGGCCCGAGGGTCAGGCTACTGGAGCTGCTCCTGCCCCGGCCAAGGACGGGCTGTCAGGGCTGCGAGTCTGAGAGCAGAGCGGCCTCTCAGGCCCTGAGAGAAGCCAGAGGAAGCCAGGGGAGGCCGAGGGGGCGGAGGCCCCAGCACTGCCGAGTGCCTGCTGGAGCGGGCAGGCTCCGCGGGGAGGGGCACCGCCGGCCGGCCTCGGAGGGGCTGCCAGCGGGGCCGCGCCAGGCTCCCTCAGGCCCAGGCGGCCATGCGGCCCCCGTGGCTGCACGAGGTCCGAGAGGCCGGGCAGTGTCAGCAGTAACTGGAGAGGCCACTCCGCTGGAGTCGGGCCAGAGGGGGACTGCGGGGAGTCCTCCCTGATGCCACCGGGAGCGCCCGCCTCTCCAGCTCCTCACTCAGAGGGAGGCGGCCTGGGCACACATGCTGACACTCGTGTCCCCGGGATAAGGCCCCCAGCCTCTCTGAGCCCGTCCTCCAGCGCTGCCTGCATATCCGGGAAGCCAGCCCGACAGAAGTTGGCCAGTGCCTTCCCTGGCCGGTGACCTGCCCTCCAGAGACAGTGGCTGCTGGGCCGGAGGGCTCAGGCGCCTGCGGGTGGGTTGGTGGCCACACATTTGAACTTTGCTGATAACCTTCAGATCACCCCACGGAGTGATGTCTCTAGGGCCAGCTGGCCGGCTGGTCCGGCAGCCGGGGCACAGAGAAAACCCCTGGCCGGACCCTGAGGGGCAGACGCCTGAGCTGAGGCCCTCTTAGCTGGTCCTGGAGCTTTTCCTCATCTCAGGCCCTGGCACTCGCCGCACCACTGCTTACAGCACCCGCCCTCCCATCGCCCCCACGCCACGGCTGACACGGCCCCTCTTCCCCCGGGGCTTTCTCGGCACTTCATCTCCACGTCTCACTCCGATCACTGCCCCTGGCTGGCAGCTCACAGGGAATGGGGGAGGTGGACGGCTCCCCGAAGGGAAGGACAGGAGGGGGCTGGGTCAGGGCCTTTATTGGGGCGTTAAACATGGCGGCCGTCGGGCGGCCCAGTGGCCGCACAGCAGCAGTCCGAGGGCCCACGCAGCGGTTTCCAAGGCACCGGAGGCCCCGCCAGCAGCGCGGGAGCAGCGGGCAGGCCCGCCGCCGTGACGCAGGCCGGAGGCGGTGGGCGGGAGGCGCCGTCAGCCGTCAGCGGTGCTTGCGGGCCTGGGCGGCTTTCTGCCGGTAGATCTCAGCGGTGAAGGGCCTGCGGGGCGGAGGACAGCCTCCGGTCAGCGGGTCTTGGGGCCGATGCCAACCCGGGCCTGCCCCCCAGGAGCCCGGACAGAGTGAAGGTGCCCTGGGGGCCAGGAGGGCCGGCAGCCGCCTGCCACTGCTTGTCCAGGCCCCCAGCCCCCGTGACTTCTCTGAGCTCCAGCCTGCCGCCGTGTCAGTGCGGCCGTGGCCCTGCTGACCTGGCCTGTCCTGGGCATGGGAGCGGTGGCCATGGGAACGGTGGCCATGGGGACAGTGGCCACGGGAACGGTGGCCATGGGAACAGCCCTGAAGGGGAGGCAAGGCCACCTCGTCCCTCACAGTGATGGCAGACAGTAGCCCGTCCCACAGACCCTGGCGGCGCCTACTCACTCCTCGTACAGGGTGGCAGCCTTGTAGACGAGGGCCACCACGCCCGTCAGCAGCAGGCCGGCGGGGCTGGCGTGCCTGTGGACAAGATGCGGGCAGTCAGCAGGCAGCCTGGCACCGGGTGCCCCTCCCTGCCAGGCTGAGTCCTGCAGCAATGTGTGGAGTGTCTGCCCAGTGTCTGGCTTTCTCTCTTGGACCAGGGCACTCGCTGCCCAGGGCCTGACCCGCTGGCCAGAGTGCTGCCATCCAGGCTGGCTCAGGCCCAAGTCAGGCAAGAGGGGCCGGACTTTCTGGTCTGGAAGTAGAGCTGGGGTGTGCATGGGGGTCCCTGCCAGAAGCCCCCAGCTCCTTGTCACTCAAAGCCCAGTGCTCATGGGGTGGGGCATGGGAAGGAGCATCTCAATCCTGACCGTTCACCCTTGGTGTCTCTGGGAACAGCGGCCTTCAGCAGTTAAATAAAAGCAGACACTGCAGACAACGGACAGACAACTACTCCGGGGCGGGGCCTGAGACCGCAGCCGTCCCCGCAGCTGCAGCCTTGACCTTGGCTGAGGCGGGAGGCAGAGTCCTGGGCACACGCTCAGACGGCCCCAGAGCCAGAGGCCGCCGCCGCCTGGGGACGGGGGAGGGGCTGGCGGGCTGCAGTCCGTGGGCAGGACTGGCCTGTACATCGTTGTGGTTAAAAAAGGAATCAAAAGAATAATATTTCGTGACGTCGGATAGAATATGAAATTCAAATGTCAGTGTCCGTGCTGACGCCATCACTCTCCCTCACCGCCTAGGGCTGCCTCTCACGGGCAGGCCTCACTCTGACCCTGGGGACGCCTGCCAGCCCTGCTCTCGGAGCTGCCGTCACGGTCAGTCCTCCCCAGGCGCGGGGCGGGCGGAGCACTCACATGACGGCCCAGCCCAGGTAGTTGGCCGTGCTGCCCCAGTACATGGGGTTGTCCAGGACGTTGAACGGGAACTTGGTCACTCTGGCCTCCTTGAGGATCCCGAAGTAGTCACCTGTGGACAAGGCGGGCAGGACACGGTCACCTCCGGGCCAGACCCTCCCTGAGGGCCGGGGCCCCAGGCTGGTGGGGAGCAGGCTGACAGCACACCGGGCCCTGCCACCTCAGGGCGCGGGCGCCGGCCGGAGCCACGGCCTCGTCCCCGCCGAGCCGGCGCCCTCCGTGCGGCAGAAGCAGGAGGACCGGCAGGAGGGTCACCGCCTTCCGTCGGGGACGAAGGAGCGGGGGAGGGCCTCTTCCAGGAGCAGGAAGCGGGCGGCGGCTGAGGCCCCGCACAGGCTGGGTGCTGGGCGACTCAGGAGTGCGTGCCTCCTTCCCAAGAATTCCCGCCGCTCCTCTCACCCCCACGCCCTCCAGCCAGTCTCACCACGTGGCTTCCTGTCAGAGCCCACTGCCCGCAGCACCCGGACTCCTCACCCTGGTCTGGAGGATGAGCCAGCACACGGGGCCCTCCGCCCTCCTGCGGCCTCGCCCTGGCCCTGCCGGGGCCACCCCTCGGCGCTGCCTCCTCCCTGGCCCTGGGTCTCGGCCCCCAGTCCACCCATCCCAGCCCCTCCCACACCTCCTGCCCGGAGTGCAGCGCAGTGCCCGTGCGCATTTGTGGACGGAGAGGTGTGGCCCCACTGGCCCCGGCCCGAGCCACCTGCCTCCTTCCCACCCGCACCTGCCAGACGGGCTCGCCCCCCTCGTCCCGGCTCCCCCCGCACAGCCCCCCAGGTCCGTCCCCGGGCTCCCCGCACAGCCCCCCCTCGTCCCGGGCTCCCCCCCCCCCGCACAGCCCCCCTCGTCCCGGGCTCCCCCCTCGTCCCGGGCTCCCCCCTCCCGCACAGCCCCCCTCGTCCGTCCAGGGCTCCCCGCACAGCCCCCCTCGTCTGTCCCCGGGCTCCCCCCCTCCAGCCCCCCTCGTCCCGGCTCCCCGCACAGCCCCCCGCGTCCGTCCCGGGCCCCCCCCGCACAGCCCCCCTCGTCCGTCCCGGGCCCCCCGCACAGCCCCCCTTGTCCGGGCTCCCCCCCGCACAGCCCCCCTCGTCCGTCCCGGCTCCCCGCACAGCCCCCCGCGTCCGTCCCGGGCCCCCCGCACAGCCCCCCTCGTCCGTCCCCGGGCTCCCCCCCCACACACAGCCCCCCCGCGTCCGTCCCAGGCCCCCCGCACAGCCCCCCGCGTCCGTCCCGGGCCCCCCGCACAGCCCCCCTCGTCCGTCCCCGGGCTCCCCCCCCGCACAGCCCCCCTCGTCCGTCCCGGGCTCCCCCCCGCACAGCCCCCCTCGTCCGTCCCGGGCCCCGCACAGCCCCCCTCGTCCCGGCTCCCCGCACAGCCCCCTCGTCCGTCCCGGCTCCCCCCCGCACAGCCCCCCTCGTCCCGGGCTCCCCCCCGCACAGCCCCCCTCGTCCCGGGCTCCCCCCCGCCCGGCTCCCCCCCGCAACAGCCCCCCTCCTCCCGGCCCCCCGCACAGCCCCCTCGTCCGTCCCTGGCTCCCCCCCCGAACAGCCCCCCTCATCCCGGCTCCCCCCCCCCACAGGCCCCCCTCGTCTGGCTCCCCCCCCCACAGCCCCCCTCGTCCTGGCTCCCCCCCGCACAGCCCCCCTCGTCCCGGGCTCCCCGCACAGCCCCCCTCGTCCCGGCTCCCGGCCGCTGGCGGGACGGCTATCTGTGAGGGCCGAGAGCTGACGGCCTGAGCGCCCGGCAGAGCCCAGGCTGAAGCACCGCACAGAGATGCCCAGACAGAGGGGCACCGATCCACCCAGGCCCCGGATGCCACAGCCTAGTCCCAGCTGGCAGGGCTGGGGTGGGGGTGGGGGGCCAAGAACCTCTGACGGGCCCCTCAGGGAGCAGGCACCTCGGGGTGCCACGTGCTTGCTGGGAGGGGCTCCCTGAGGGCAGCAGCTGCTCCTGCGTCTTTCCCTGACCCCAGGGCCACCCTTGTCCCGGCAGCTCCCCTGTGGCTCTCCTTCCGGGATCGCTGACGTCATGAGGCCTTCCAGAGCTGCAGGCAGAGGGACAGTGGCCCCATCCCTCGCTCTGCAGCCGGCTCCGGCCCAGCGAGAGGCCACCGGCTGCCTGGCCCGCAGCCACGCGGCCGGACCAGACGGGAGGGCCCAGCTCCTGCAGGCGCTGAGCGGGCCTCACCCAGGAAGGTCCCGGTGAAGCCCAGGGCGGCGAAGCTGGAGAGCACCAGCAGGCTGCCCGCGCCCAGCAGCACGAGGCCGGCCTGGTAGGCCGTGGGCGTGTCCAGGCTGTCCATCCGGGGCTGGTTCCGCATGGCCTGAGTGAACCTGCGGGCGGGGCGAGAGAAGGGTCACTGGGTGAAGGCGAGGCTGCCACTCCTTCCCACCGGGCCCCCCAAGTGGCCCCCAGAGTAGTCGGTCCAAGGGTCTCAGACCCGGTGCTGCTGGGGGCAGGCAGGGGCAGCGGCTGCTGGGGGTGCGGCCCCGGGACCGGGCAGGGGGGCGGGCAGGGGGGCAGGGATCCTGAAGCACCGTCTCCGGTGCCAGAGGGAGCAGTGCGGGTGGGCCCAGACCTGCAGAGTTTTGGTTTTTGGGAGTCAGAAATCCTGACTGGGTATGAGTGTCCTCATTTTAAAAAATTTAAAAACAGGCGATGAGCCGAAACCGGTGTGGCTCAGTGGATAGAGCGTCGGCCTGCAGACTGAAGGGTCCCAGGTTCGATTCCGGTCAAGGGCATGTACCTTGGTTGCTGGCACATCCCCAGTGGGGAGTGTGCAGGAGGCAGCTGATCGATGTTTCTAACTCTCTATCCCTCTCTTCCTCTCTGAAAAACTCAATAAAATATATTATTAAAAAAATAAATAGAAATAAAAACAGGCGATGAATGAAAACTATTTGGGATTCTGTGCGTCTCAGCAGGCCAGATTCAGCCCGAAGACCAGCAGTTTGCAAACGCTGATCCTGTCCAGCTAGAACGGGCCATGGAGGGTGAGTGGGATGGAAGCTGCAGCCAGGCTGTGCGGTCCTCCCGGTGGTGGGCGCGGCCGCAGCCCCAGCCCCTGTGCAGCTCCAGCGCCCCCTGGCTGCGGCGCCGAGCCCACCGGGAGCGGATGCCTTGCCCAAGGCAAGTGGGCTGAGCAGAGGGGTGACGGCTGGTGAGCTCCGAGCCTCGGGCTCTCCGGGCTCTCCGGCTGGCTCCCCGGCTGGAAGGGCCCGGCTCCGGGTCTGCCTCCTCAGGGGAGTGGCGCCTCCACAGGAAGGTGTGTGGGAGCAAGAGCACGCCCGTGGCGCACACATCCCCTTCCCCCTGCCCTCAGTCACAAGAGCAAGACCTCCGCCTCACAGGAGGCAGCTGCTTGCACCCACTTTGTACCAGGAACTCCTGGCAGTGCAGTTCACCACCCATCTGTGTATCCTCTATTGGTCTACCCTCATCTACCCACCCATCCATGCATCCAGCCATCTATCCTCCATCAACCCATCCATCAACCCACCCATCTAGCCATCCATCAGCCATCCATCCACCTACCCATCCATCCACCTATCCACCCATCTATCTTCTATCCATCCATCCACCCACCTACCCATCCATCTATCCACCCATCTATCCTCTATCCATCCATCCACCCACCCATCCATCCACCCATCCACCCATCTATCCTCTATCCATCCATCCACCCACCCATCCATCTATCCACCCATCTATCCTCTATCCATCTATCCATCCATCCACCCATCCACCCACCCATCTATCCTCTATCCATCCTTCCATCCATCCATCCATACACCCACCCATTCATCCACCCATATATCCTCTATCCATCCATCCATCCATCTATCCTCCATCCATCTATCCTCTCTCCATCTATCATCCTTCCATCCATCCATCCATCCATCCATCCATCACAAAGTCTCTCTGTTTGCCAGGCTTTTGCAAGCAGAAGAAACTCATCATTTTTGTTCATCCCACCTGTCAGTTCTGCCATCCTGATGCTAAGCTAAATCTGCCTCCCAGCGGCTTCCCTCCGCCCCTCCCAGAGTAGAGAAGAGGCTGCTTGTCCTTCCCCGGGCGTCTCCTGGCACCTGGCACACTCCAGGCAGAGGTTTAGGGCACCTGCCTGGACAGGAGGACAAGCAACACCCTCACCTCCTCCCGTCCCCCAGCGCGGAGAAAGGGCTGAACAAACAGCAAACAGGACACCAGGCGCAGAGCCGGCCGATGACCTGTCAGACAGGCACACGTGTCAGGGCACACCTGGCTCTGGTCACGCCGCCCACACCCCCAGCTCTCCGCCCACCACTGCCCTCGCTCAGCTCCAGCTGCCAGGCTCAGGGCCACCCCGCAGTGACAGGCTGATACTCTGCGGCTGCTCAGGGTCACAAACACCCGTGTGTACCGGGTCACCACGCCTGGCCCGCCCCTCTGTGCCCTCACTGGCCTTCTGATAAACCTGCCACCAAGCACCCCTTCTCCCCGCAGACAGCAGCTGAGGCCATGGTGCGGGCTGCTCGGGCCCTAGCCTCAGCACCCCCTGCCTGTCCTGTGGGCACCTGGCGGAGTGGGGGCATGGAGAGGGTGTGGGCAAGGCTGCCTGCCCGCCCGTCAACTACCGGCCCTGGATCCTTGGCTAGCCCTGCATGAAGGACTGTGCCACAGAGAGAGAGAGAGAGAGAGAGAGAGAGAGAAACAGAGAGAGAGAGACAGAGAGAGAGAGAGAGAGAGACAGAAAGAAAGAGAGAGAGAGAGAGAGAGAGAGAGAGACAAAGAGAGAGAGACAGAGAGAGAGACAGAGGGAGAGAAAGAGAGACAGAGAGACAGAGAGAGAGAGAGAGGAAGAGGAGAGAGAGAGAGAAGATAGATATAGATTGCAAACGCTTCGCCTCCAAGATCTCATTGGCGGGAGTTAATCCCCCTCACACCATCTCCGCCACCAGCCCCCCACTGGGCTGGGCTCCCTCCTGCCTGGGCTGCTCCCCCTGGCCTGGCTGACTCCGCCCTGCCCTGGGCTTGCTCTCACTGCCCTGGGGCGGGCTCCCCCTGCCCTGTGCTTCTCCCCCTGCCGGTCTGACTCCTCCCTGCCTTGGGCTGCTCCCTGCTCCCCACTGCCTGGGCTGACTCTTCTCTGCATGGGCTGCTCCCCCTGCCTGGGCTTGCATCCCCCTGCCTGGGCTGACTCTCCCTGCCTGGGCTGCTCCTCCTGCCTGGGCTGCTCCCCCTGCCTGGGCTGACTCCTCCCTGCCTGGGCTGCTCCCCCTGCCTGGGCTGACTCCTCCCTGCCTGGGCTGCTCCCCCTGCCTGGGCTGCTCCCCCTGCCTGGGCTGACTCTTCTCTGCATGGGCTGCTCCCCCTGCCTGGGCTGCTCCCCCTGCCTGGGCTGACTCCTCCCTGCCTGGGCTGCTCCCCCTGCCTGGGCTGACTCCCAGGCTGCCAACCTAGGGCAATGAGACCTGCTGGGTCGGCACCAGCACAGCCACCAGCCTCGAGTCGCTGCACCCATGGCCCCTGACCCAGGCTGAGGGCTCCTGGCACCTGCAGGATGGTTCAGAAGGAGCTGGGCACCTGGCCTCAGTGCTTGCCTCTGAAGGAGGGAGCAGCACCCCCTCCCCTGCCCCCATGCAAAGCTCATGCTGGCGAGCGCGGGGCTGTGGGCAGGTGAGCCCGGTGACAGTGGGACGGGTGCCACGCTGGGGCAGCACTGGTGCCAGACAGGGTCCAGAGGCCGGTGAGGCTTCGCTGAGATATGACAGAGGAAATCCACCGGGGGAGGGATGGGTGGAGGGAACATTCCAGAAGAAAACCAGCCAGGCCAGGGGGAAGCTCCTGATGGCGGGGGAGAGTGGGAGGCCAGCTACAGTCCAGCGTGACCAGGTCCGGAGCCGAGGGCACAGCCTGCTCCTGCTCCTGCCCCTCCACCAGGCTCACCCGCGCCAGGCAGCGGGCACCCTCCCGCCGGCGCGGGCAGCGGGGAGGCCGGCCGGCGGGGGGAGGCGCAGGGCTTAGCCACCAGGGCGCTCAGGGCCACGCTCCGGTCACTGCTGCGGGCCGCCCGCCGCCAGCCGGCTCCGTCCCACCTGCGCTCAGAGGGGCTGGCAGCCCAGGCACAGCACGGAGGGTGCAGGGCTGCTCCCACCCACACCCCCACTCCTGAATGGTGCTGCCCGCCCTGGTCTCCCCTCCCCCCCAGCAGCCCCCCTCCCCCCGGAGACTCCCCCCTCCCCCTGATCATCCCCCTCCCCCAGGAGCCACCCTCCCCCCCAGCAGCCAGCCCCCTCCCCCCCCAGCAGCCCCCTCCCCCCCAGCAAGCCCCACGCCCCCATCAGTCCCCTCCCCCCCAGCAGCCGCAGCCCCCCTCCCCCACAGCAGCCCCTCCCGGCCCAGTAGCCCCCCTCCCCCCCATACAGCCCCTCCAGCATGCCTCCCCTTCTTCCTAGCCCCCCCAAGCCCCCCTCCCCCCCAGCAGCCACCCCCTCCCCCCAGCAGGCCCCCCTCCCCCCAGCAGCCCCCTCCCCCCCAGCAGCCCCCTCCCCCCAGCAGCCCCCTCCCCCGGAGCAGCCCCCTCCCCCGGAGCAGCCCCCTCCCCCCAGCAGCCCCCCTCCCCACAGCAGGGCCCCCCCTCCCCCCCAGCAGCCCCCCCCCCAAGCGCCCCCTCACCACCCAGCAGCCCCCTCCCCCCAGCCCCACCCCACCCCAGCAGCCCCATCCCCCCCGAGCAAGCCCTCCCCCAAGCATCCCCCCCCCCCCAGCGACCGCCCCTCCCCCCAGCAGCCGGAGCACCCCTCCCCATCCACGTTCCACCAGCAGTTCCCCCTCCCCGCCAGCAGCCCCCTCCCCCCAGCAGCCCCCCTCCCCCCAGCAGCCCCCCTCCCCCCAGCAGCCCCCTCCCCCCAGCAGCCCCCCTCCCCCCAGCAGCCCCCCCTCCATCCACGGAGGTGCAGCAGCCCAGTGCCACACGGGCGCATGCGTGGCTCCACAAACAGTGGAATCTTATTCGCTTTAAAAAGGAGGAAAGTTGTGTTTTTTTCCAAGTGCTCAGTTTACTCCCCAGCTTTGCTGAGCTGTCACTGCTCTGCCGAGGGGAGGTGCGTGGGGGAAGCCCTGGTACACGCGTGTCCTGTGAAATGACAGCCCTCCGCTCCCGCTCCCGCCGCCCGCGTGCGCACCGCTCGACGCCCCTCCGGCCCCAGGCCCGGCCACCCCGCAATCCGGCCCCCGTGGGGCCGAGCGCTCAGTGCGATTCTCACTCAGCGCCGCCCGCACCACCTTCCTGCCACTCGCCACCCCAGGAAAGGGACCAGGCTCAGGGCAGGCCCGCTGGCGAGGCCCATCGGCCCCTGCTCCCAGGCTGGCCTCCAGTCGCCCCCAGGCACCTGCCAAGCCCCTGGCAGCAGCGCCCCCTCCCACAGCTCACCGCCCGCCTCCTCCGGCAGTGGGTCCGCAGCGGCCGTGTGTGCACCGGCCCGGGTCCCAGGCAGTCACAGGGGCCCGATGGCCCAGATGGGGTGCTGCTGGGTGCGAGGCCGAGAGCAGCGTCCCTATGCACTCAGACAGAGCCCCCCCGCCCGGGGCCTTACCAGTGCGAGCGCAGGGCGTTCAGGAGCAGGATGACCCCGCCCAGCGCATAGCAAGCCACGTGGGGGGAGCCCAGGGCTCCGCTCAGCTTCCGCGTCCTCTGTTCCCATCTGGCCACCTGGACGGAGAGAGGAGCGTGAGGTGCTGGGAGGACCCGTGCGGGAGGAGGCTCAGGGTGCTCCGGGCCAGGGGTGCCCGCACAGCCGTAGTCCTGCCGGGGGCCACAGCCTGCCGGAGCAGCCTCAGCTGGCTCTTCCTGAGCAGGGGGACCGGGCAGCCCAGCGCCCAGCCCCGTGGGCGAGGGGCAGGGCCGAGCTGCTGAGGACAGATGAGGGTCCCCCAGGAAGCAGGCCCAGCCCTGCAGTCCCCTCACCTCCAGGCACAGACTTTCAAGCTTTCAACTTTTTTTGGTTAATCCTCAACCAAGGATATTTTTTTCTGTTGATTTTGTTTTAGAGAGAGTGGAAGGGATGGGAGGAGGAGGAGAAAGAGAAGCATCGATGTGAGAGACACATCCATTACCTCCCAAACTTGCCTGACTATAGCTGGGGATTGAACCTGCAACCCAAGTACATGCCCTTGACAAGGAATCGAACCCACGACTCTTTGGGGCATGGCCGGCACTCTAACCACTGAGCCGCCGTTTTTTATTTTGTTTTTTAAACCAATCGCATCTACAGTCACCTTCAACAGCAGCAGGGAAACGGGGCGTGGGCAGCTTTCAGAAGCCCTGCTGCCTCTGTGGCCAGGCCCCGGGCCGCACCCAGCACCGCCGTGCCCAGAGGCACACTGGGCTGTGCCAGCAGGAACGGCAGGAGGAGCGGCTGAGCGGGCAGGAGACAAGGCCGCACTCTGATCAGGGGCCGGGGGCGGGGGGACCGTCGCCTGGAGCTCCCGTGAACGTGGTCACAGCGGAGTCTCGAAGGCCGCCAGGCCTCCTGCAGGAGGACCAGCCCCGGGCTCGCTCTCCATGGGGCCTCAGCACCGAGTCTGCCTGCTGCCGGCTCCGGGCCGGACTGCCCATTGGCCTACCCTCCCTGGCAGCTCAGGTCCAGAGATTTGGCCCTGAGGCGGCTCCCGGCCTGTCCTCGAGCTTCCTGGGGCGTGGCCAGCGCAGAGGGCCTGCAGGCTGCAGTTCCAGGAGGGAGAGTGGGCGAGGGGCTCCAGCTTCCCCCGGAGTGCCATGCCTCTGCTTTGGCACCGCTGCCCGGTACCCGCGGACCAGCCTCTGCCGCTCAGAGCCCGGCCCTCGTGTGGAGCATGGTCCCGGACCAGACTGCGTATGTGGCCTTTAAACGTTTTTCGAAATAACATTTCAAAGTGGTGTTTAGTTGTGCAAGCATTATTACTGTCTAGTTCCAGACCGTTCCATCAGCCCACAGACACTCAGGCACTCTGCACCTCCTTCTTCTTCTGTCTATTCTGGAAGTTTCCTTAATCAGAATCACACAAGATGTAACTTTCGACCCTGGTTTCTTTTCAGGCCATTCTGGTATAGGTTCATCCATGCTGCAGCATGTGTCAGCACGCCATTCCATCCATCCATCCATCCATCCATCCATCCATCCATCCGCACATCCATCCATCCATCCATCCATCCTCACATCTATCCATCCATCCTCACATCCATCCATCCATCCATCCATCCATCCATCCTCACATCCATCCATCCATCCTCACATCCATCCTCACATCCATCCATCCATCCATCCATCCTCACATCCATCCATCCATCCACCCTCACATCCATCCTCACATCCATCCATCCATCCATCCATCCATCCTCACATCCATCCATCCATCCACCCTCACATCCATCCTCACATCCATCCATCCATCCATCCATCCTCACATCCATCCATCCGCACATCCATCCATCCATCCATCCATCCTCACATCTATCCATCCATCCTCACATCCATCCATCCATCCATCCTCACATCCATCCATCCATCCTCACATCCATCCATCCATCCACCCTCACATCCATCCTCACATCCATCCATCCATCCATCCTCACATCCATCCATCCGCACATCCATCCATCCATCCATCCTCACATCTATCCATCCATCCTCACATCCATCCATCCATCCATCCTCACATCCATCCATCCATCCATCCATCCTCACATCCATCCATCATCACATCCATCCATCCATCCTCACATCCATCCATCCATCCTCACATCCATCCATCCATCCATCCATCCTCCCATCCATCCTCACACCCACCCAACCAACCACTCATTCACCCAACATTTACTGAGGGATCTACACAGGCCAGTAGAATATTGTGAAAAGAAAGCGGAGGAGGACAGAAGCCACAGGAAGTCATCCATGACAGCGGTGCTTGTTTGTATGTGAAACACCGGTTTCCCGGGCGTCCACAGGACAGCAGCCTGGAAGGACCTCTCCACCTGAGAGGCGCGATTCCGGAAACATCTTCCTCTTGGCCACTCCATCTCCAATACACGCTGGAAGTGAGGGCTGGAGGGCAGCTTTTTGATATCCCATGTGGGGGGGACAGCGGCTGCTTCCTTTCATTGTATTGCATCTGCCCTGGCACCACAGGTCCTCCACCTGCCAGCTCTGTGCCCCTGAGGGGATCACTTCCCCTCTCTGCCTCAGTTTCCTGACGATGCCCCTCCCGTGTTGCTGGGAGCATTGGTGAGTTAGTGCACGGTAAGCGCTCGGAGCCTGTCCGGAGGGCACCGCCCTCCCCCCGCACACAGCTCCCCTGCCTCCACGTCCTCTGTGGGGCTGCCCTCTGGCTGGAGAGCCTGCCCGGACCTCAGGGCCTATGCTGCCCTGGGCACCCCTCCAAGAGCACAGACCCTGCTGCGCCAGGCAGCGCCAGCGGTCCCACCGCCAGCCCTTCCCATGGCCACAGCGCCCTGTCGGCTGCTCCCCCCGCCCCCGCCCCCGCCCCCGCCCCCGCCCCCGCCGGGCAGCAGATGACCAGTTCAGAGGTGCGCCCCAGCCAGCCTGCAGGGAACTCACAGCTGGACTTGACTGCCGGGGAGTGGGTCCCCAGATGGAAGCCAGGGCCCCAAGCCTCCTGGAACCCTGCACCAGCTGCCCATCCCCACCAGCGGGAAACCCTCACCCCCCACGGGAAACCCCCCCTGGAGCCCCCCCCACCGGAAACCCTCCCCCCATGGGAAACCCCCCCCCAAAACCCCCCCCCCCGGGAAACCCTCCCCCCCACAAAACCCTCCCCCATGGGAAACCCCCCCCATCGGAAACCTCCCCCACGGGAAACCCTCCCCCACGGAAACCCTCCCCCACGAAACCCTCCCCCACGGGAAACCCTCCCCACGGGAAACCCTCCCCCACGGAAACCCTCCCCCACGAAACCCTCCCCCACGGGAAACCCTCCCCCACGGGAAACCCTCCCCCACAAAACCCTCCCCCACAAAACCCTCCCCCACAAAACCCTCCCCCACGGGAAACCCCCCCCCACGGGAAACCCCCCCCACAAAACCCTCCCCCACAAAAACCCCCCCCCCACAAAACCCTCCCCCACGGGAAACCCTCCCCCCCACAAAACCCTCCCCACGGGAAACCCTCCCCACGGGAAACCCTCCCCCCATGGGAAAACCCCCCCACGGGAAACCCTCCCCCACAAAACCCTCCCCCACGGGAAACCCTCCCCCACAAAACCCTCCCCCACGGGAAACCCTCCCCCACGGGAAACCCCCCCCCACAAACCCCCCCCCCACAAAACCCTCCCCCACAAAACCCTCCCCCACGGGAAACCCTCCCCCACGGGAAACCCTCCCCCACAAAACCCTCCCCCACAAAACCCTCCCCCACGGAAAACCCTCCCCCACGGGAAACCCTCCCCCACGAAACCCTCCCCCACGGGAAACCCTCCCCCACAAAACCCTCCCCCACGGAAAACCCTCCCCTGACGGGAAACCCTCCCCACGGAAAACCCTCCCCTGACGGGAAACCCTCCCCACGGGAAACCCTCCCTTGATTAGGTGTCAGGGTCACTAATCATTAGGGAAACGCAAGTCAAACCGCAACAGGATTCCGCCTCACACCCATGAGGATGGTAATTGTTAAAAACTCAGGAAGCAGCCGAAACCAGTTTGGCTCAATGAATAGAGCATCGGCTTGGGGACTGAAGGGTCCCGGGTTCGATTCCGGTCAAGGGCATGTACGTTGGTTGCGGGCATATCCCCAGTAGGGGGTGTGCAAGAGGCAGCTGATCGATGACTCTCTCATTGATGTTTCTAACTCTGTATCTCTCTCCCTTCCTCTCTGTAAAAAATCAATAAAATATATTAAAAACAAAACAAAACAAAACAAAAAACCTCAGGAAGCAACGAGTGCTGGAGGATGAAAACGGAGCTGTGCCCTGCTGGTGGGACAGTCAAGCGGTGCAGCCACGGTGGAAAGAAAAGTAAAACTAGCCCAGATGGTGTGGCTCAGTATTTGAACGTCGGCCCATGAACCAGTTAGTTCTCTGTGCCTATGAGTGTTTCTGTTTATTTGTTCTTTAGATTCCAGACATAAGTGAAATCCTGTGATATCTGCCTTTCTCTGTCTTCATTTAGCAAATGGGAAGATTTCATTGTTACGGCCGAGCAGTATTCCATTGTATAGATGCACCACTGAGGTGGGAGACCGGGAACTCTGTGCACTGCTGGTGGGAATGCAGGCTGGTGCAGCTGCTGTGGAGAACAGTATGGAGTTTCCTCAAAAAACTAAAAATGGAACTCCCATTTGACCCACGCCTCCCCCGCCCAGCCACCGGCCGGCGTGCCCACGCCTCCCCCGCCCAGCCACCGGCCGGCGTGCCCACGCCTCCCCCTGCAGCACAGCGCAGCCCCGCAGGGAGCTCGCCCAAGGGGCCCGGGCGGCTTTCCCGTGTCCCGCCTCCCCACCATTGCTCTCCGTCCTAGCTTCCCGGGGCGTGCCGGGCTGGGTCATCACTGCCGTTGGACAGTCACGTGGGCCGGGGTCTGGGCTGCCCGTGGCCCTGCCAGGCCGTGGCTCTGCACTCTGACGCCCTGGAGGCAGTCACAGGGGCAGCCCCTCGGTCGCCCGGGCCCTCAGAACCAGCTGCCGGAGGCAGACCCAGCCATGCCTTCTCCCAAAAGGCGCG